ATATTTGGAATTTGCATGGGTGGCGTCCTTTCCACCATTTCTGTAACTATGGTGATCTCCACCATCATGTACTGGAAAAGTGTGAAAAGATCCAAGCTTCATCCGCAGGGCAAAATCCGCAAAATTATACGGGGACCTCCGAGACGCACAGTGTGCTAAGCTGCAAAGTGAACTGGCCATTCATTTGTCCTTAATATGCCATATGTAGCTTAGGTTCTTGCTTATTTATTTTATTTTTAAAAACAAAGCTCTTTCGCTTTACTCATGTCCCCTACCTCAAAGAGTTTTGTTATGTCTGTAAAAGAGTACTTGAAAACAGAATGCAGCACATACCTGCTAACTACTCATTGGTACGCTATAATTTTATAAAGCTGAGTTTTCTCATAATCTTTTTAATGCCACACTCAGTAATAGTCCTATAAACTGCATCACCGTTATCACCTGCAACTGTTTTTGAAAGATCATTTGCTACTCATAAGCTTCGGTTTGGGTTCAACACTATTATTTCTAGGAAATTAACTCTGAAATGTAGTACAATGCAGCTGCAGACCCTGGAGCCAATTATTTTCTTGCTCAGTTCTCGCAAGTTAAACACTATGGTGACACGCAGGAATCCATCCTAATTTGGCAGTAATACTCCTGTGAGATTTTGTGTTTGTCAGTCGTCCACCTCGCAATACTGTAATGGTTGCCCAGTCTCCTTCTCCATCTAAATTCACCAAACCCAGATTGGCTCTTTGATTCTCGTTTCTTTTTTAGAGACAACTTCCACTAGTCAGCCCTACTTGTTACATATTTTGGACAAATGAAATTTCTGGGTCACTGTCTGTCCCATAGAGTAAGTCACGTGTTTTCTTTGTACTCTTTTACAGACTCTTCACAAAGGGCCTATGGCCGCCTTTTTGATGCAAACTAAAGATAACCCCATGAAAGCCTTAGGAGTGCTAGCTGGTGTCATGGGCGTAATGGTGCTGATAACTATCATGATCTCTACTGCCATGTTCTGGCGCAATAAGCGGTCCAACAAAATCATGCCGGTGAGAAGGATCATAAAAAAGAGACAGACCCCGCAGTCCCGGACAGTCAGGATGGAGTGGCTGAAGTTCAAGAGGCCCAGCAATGCTGCGGAGAAGTTTGTCGTGGAGGATGACGCCAAGAGCCTACACAACGAGAACAGCAACAACAACACCCAGGTTGCCCCAGTGCCGCCGACGGCCCCCTCACCCCCACCACCCCCGGCCCTGGCTCCTGGCGGGGATGCCCCGGGGTGGCGAGTGCCAACCGTGTCCATCTCCCTCACTCCCAAGTTTATAAACAAGCAGCTGAAGAAGAGAGGTCACAGCAGCGCCCACAATGCCCTTGTGTCAGAGCTCAAAATGAAGTTTGAGAAGAGGAACGCAGCTGTCGGTGAGCCACACATCTAGGCACTCTTGGCAGCCCCCAGAGACTGCAGATTGTGGCTGTGCGTGGATATATTTATGTGCTGTGGTCTTCTCCGTGTCCGTCAGCACCCTGTGAACTGAGAGCAGCTTCTCGCTGTGATGACTGCTCCTCACCTTCTCAAAGTATTATGTGCTACGGGGTCACCCCACCCATAGCAAACGCTGGTCCATGTCCAGTTGTGACTGCAGTTCCTTCAGCTCGTGTCCCTTCCTGCGGCATTCTGACCAGGGTGCTGAGTACTCTCACACTGGCCACAGTCTCCCCAAGCCAACAGGGATTCAGATTGCCCCCGTTTTGGAGGTCCCTACCCAGAGACCTCGTTTTCAAACAGGGTGTTCTGCAGCCGTGGCACTGGAGGATGCCACCTCTGACCTGGTCTGGTGGGTGGGTTTGAGGTGTCCAAGGTGTTGGCCTGGCTGTGACTCCGGCACCGAGTCAGTGTGCAGATGTCCTACAGCAGTGATGCTGCACGATGCGAGAGGGCAGCACGTAGCTGGTACCTGCTGTCCTCAGGGCGTGACATGCAGAGCGATGTGCTCATGGCCTGAGCACCTTCATTCCCAAAAGGTAAGCCAAGGGCAGGCTTGGAGAAGTCCTTCGTTTTCCTGCAGCTTATGCTGGATTTTGCCAGAGTACATGGACACGATGCTGCGCTTCGCTTCTGCCCTTGACTCACCTGCTGATCAGGGGATGGGAGGTCCACCTCAGCCTTCCTTGGACCAGCTGGGGCACAACTTGGGCACCCAAGTGCAACAGCAGTCCTCACTCCCTACTGCCGCCTCCTCACACCACGTCCCCTGATGCGGGGCAGGCAGCAGGAGGCGGCCATGGTTAAACAGCAGGGAAGACAAGGTAAAACGGAGGGAAAAAAGATACGTGAAAAATGCCGACAAGTGCTGGAAAGTCACATATGTTGGTCAGGGAAGTGTCTGGAAAGATCATTTGGTTTTGTACACTGCTAGCAGGAGGTGTCGGTGAACGTATTTCATCACCTCTCCTGCCTTGCTCCAGGGACCAGTGAGTGCAAAAGGAGATTTCCATAAAATATGCTGGTTAGTCCTATCAGTATTTTTTGACTGAATTATGCAACAGTTAATGGGGGGAGGGGGGAGTTGGGAGGAGCAACTGACACTTTTTTTTTTTCCTATTCCGTGACAGTAAAAAGACACTGAAGGCAGAGAACTTTTGTCACTGGCTCTACCCCACAGTTTGTCCCTCGTGTTCATTGCTGAGGAGGTGTTTTTCAGCTGGGCCTGGCTCTTTCCCACCCCTTGGGGAGAAGGCAGCCTGCACCAAGGTGCCTGGGGAGCAGCACCCTCCACCCTCTGCCTGAGCCCTGGCCCCGCGTGGCAGCTGTGCCGCCATGGACCGGCACCACGAACGTCAAGATGGGGAGCAAACCCTTCAGGACAGGACCCTGTTAATTCAAGGGAGTTGTGAGACTCTTCTCCAGCTGTCATTTCAGCTGGACCAGCAGCCCTGGCCCTCAGGGGCTCTTCTTCCCTGACCCCATTAGCTGTCCCAGTTCCCTTTGTTTGCAGCAGAACTCCATCAGGTTAGGGATAGGTGGTTGAATGAGAAGTTATGCGCTTAGGGGAAAAATCTTGTGGTTTTTAACTTCAGTTCAATCCACCTAGAAGCCGGAGAGTAACCACGGCTCACGTCACCCGCAGGCTGAGCCAGGAGCCCTCGGCAGGGCCCTGGCTGGGGGGGCCATGGTACAGAGCCTCTCCTGCCGCGTCTCTCATTTCTTGCAGTGTTTTCTTGCTTATCCCTCCTCCTGGGGCTGCATGGCATGGCTCGCGTTGTGCGCGGTCACTTTGGTCACCCCTGTCCTCCAACAGCAAGCTGGTTGGAGGGAGGGGAGGTGCAGCCCCCGGCCCCGCTCCTGGTGCCTTGCGCGAGCACACACCTTCTGCTGGTTGTGTCTCCAACAGGTTCTGCTGTGTTTCCCAAGGTACCAAAAGTTTGTGGTTTATTCCCTGTATTGCTGTTTTCCCGATGTTGTGTTGAAGCCGGTATTCAGTGTTCATTCTCCAATGAGGAAAGCCTATAAAGATCATTCAATTAAGTGAGATTTAACAGGATTTATAGGCTTATAGTCTTAGAGATTATATTTAAGAGGGAATAAAGACATTTTATTGCTATGTTGTGGGACTTTTTTCCAGTTAGTCTGTATTTCAGATTTGGGGGGGGGGGATAAAAAAAAAAAACCCACCGTGGGGGGGGGTATAAAAAAAAAAACCCACTGCAAAAGGTGGTTCTGTGCATGGTGTGCTTCTGCTGGCAACGATGCCTTGTCATGGCTTGCTATGTGACCACACGGACGCAGGCACCCAGACAGCTTGCCAGGGTGACCAAACGTCCCCTTTTATGGGCCGCCAGTCGGGAGAGGGACGGTGTGGTTTTTGGGCAGTGCCAGCCTGGAAGGAGAGGAGGGGAGAAGCGGGGTGCCACAGGGCATGGGGGACGGCTGGGTCACAGACAGGCTCCTGGCTGAGCGCCCGTTGTGCTCCACAACCCATGTGCAGGAAGGCTCCCCGATAGGGAGCAGGTCTAGTTTGATGCTGATGCAATTTATTATGAGCTTTCTACACATGGTGATGGGAAGATTTGTCTTTCCCTGGCTGTTTCCCCGCTGTGATCCAGCAGCTCTCTCTACAGTTTGCCTCTGTGCCTCCGTGCTGACTGCGATGGGAGAAGGCCAGTCGTTACAGGCACTGGTTTGTTTTCCACTCCCCCTTGTACGTGGCCCTGTGCTGCTCCTCAACCAGCATCGGCTCGCCTGACCCCATATGCAGCATCTCCCTGAGGGTTTCTCCAGGACATGGTGGTCTCCCCCCTTGGCTGGCTGCTTCTGCCCCTTCCTTACCACTCCAGACCCCCATCACATGTGCTGCAGCTGCCCAGCCTCCCACATCCCTGCAGCCAAACCCCGGAGCTCCTTGGCATTCAAGTTTCTTTGCAATTTGTGACTGTAAAAGAGTAGAAATGAAGCAGAGGACATCTGCGTATTCTGAAAACCCGTCATGTTTATTACTTCAACACTAAAAGACTGACAAGACTAGCAAGTCACTTGAAGTATAACACCAAGAGTCAGCATTGACCAAACGGGTCTTCACGCAGTGAGTTACAGCAGAAGGAGGTGTTGGGGGAGGACATGTGGGGCATGAGGAGAGACAGCACGGAAAACACACAGCAAAAACCAAAATACAACTAGAAAGCCAAACTGCCACCTAGTGAAGCACACGCTAGGCTTCATCTCTGCTTACAGTTGAGACTTGCACTCTAGGTTTTTCCTTTTGGAGGTGGTCTGTAACACCACGTACGACAAGAGCTGCAGTACTATTGGCCACGTGTTTTGGTTGTGCTGGAAATCACGAGGCCAAAAAAGAGAAAAATAAGTCACGTCCTCAGACCCCCTGAGAAATGCAGCATGAGCTGCTCCACGAGCAGGGGCCGGTTGCTTTTACATCCATATTTGGGGTTTTTTTCCCCTCTGGAAAGGCGGCGAGCATTGGTTTCAAAGCAGCAGGGTGGCAGGCAGCCCATCTGCGTCAGGGGAAGGAGCCTGGCTTGCACATTTGGCTCCCAAGCCCCGGCTCCACCACCCCCTCTGCCCCCAGCCATTTGTCCCAGTTCAGGCTGAGGATCCCCATCACTTCCCCCATCACCCTGCAGCCACCGCCCATCCTGGGAAAAAGGAGAAGAGTGGTGGGGAGGGGAAACCGCAGTTGAGTGTTTGCCTGTAAAAGACAAACTAGTCATTTTTCTCCTGCTTTTGCTCTTAATTTTAAAAATAATATATTAACACAACAACACATCACTTGTGTAGCGATAGGAGTTAGGCGTGTGTATATTAGTGTGTTAGTGTGAGAAAGAGCGAGTGTTAGTGTGAAACTAAAATAGTCCTCTAAGATATGTTTGGAGAAAAGTAAAAGGCCCTCTCCCCTTCTCCTGAAATATTTATAAAATGTAAATCAAAAACCCCAAAACCCTGTGCTGCAGCCACATTGCCCTGGTGTTCAGTAAGCGCTCGCGCGCTTGCTGTTCGTGGTAGAGCTGAGGCTATGGAACCCTTATGGCTGTGTCATCCTGAAGGAGGAGTAAGAAAAAAAACCCAACAAACCAAAGCAAAACAAACAAACCCCCCACTCCCAAAACCAACCCAACGACACTGATCAAAAATTTTAAAAAAAGGGTTTTCTCCATGTGAAACAAAATGGCTCCATCACGTTGACCAATCTTCCCCCAGAGTTTTTGTTGCTGGTTGCGACCATGGCCCTGCACTGGCTGCCTCATCCTGTCTCCACGCAGCAGCACGCAGGAGAAGCCGCAAACGAGCCCCCCCGCTGGGTAAAATAAAGCAAGAAAGAAACACATGCCCGTGAGAAAGAGCAAGGGGAGACCTTCGGCCATTTGCCACATGCGTTGCTACTGGTTTGGGGAGGTTTTGGGGGTTAATGCTTGTTTTCTGGTCTGTCTGTGTGCACGGCTGCATGACGGCGCTGCTGCAGCACCCCAGTTCCCAGGGCTCCCCAATCCTGGTCACGTGCCCTGCCATGCACCTGAGTCCATGTGGAGCCACCCTCGCACGGTCCTTCAAGCCCACAATCGTGTG